ATATTTCACAAAGAGATTTAAAGGAGATATAAATCATTAGTGTAATTGAATGTAAGTTCTGTTTATGCTTATATGTCTGTATCGGAACATAACATCCCGATGTTTTATTAATAAACGAAAATACATTCTCTTTGAGAAATGTTTTGATAAGTTATTATCATATCTTGTATTGGGAACAAATTCCGCAACCGTTTTCTTTAAACGATTACTCTGATTTTATAAAACAAAGCATAAACAAATCGGTCTTTTCTGGCCGTGAAAATGGGGATGTCACATGTTCTCCTTGTTCTCATCCTCTGCTACTTTACCTGCACATAAAGTAGAATCATTAGTATTTTCAACTTGAATACCTCCTGACACAAATCCAGCTGGTTTACCATATCGAAGATGTGCCTCCCTGTCAATTTCTTCCTGTGTCATTGTGATAGATGTGTAGTTATGATTGAAAGGCGGAGGAACACTATCATACACTAGACCCTTATTTTGATTATCTTTGAATTTTAATTGGGTTTCAAATAAGGACTCGACTGTCTTACTTGATGCAGTATAATTTTTGAAACTAACATCTGTTTTTCCACACTTAGTTTTCAAAGCATCAAGTTCTTCGGTTACAACATCAAGTTGTCTCTTAATATAGTTATAATTTTCACACTTGTTGCTATACTCTTCCTGAAGTTTCCTAAAGTCTTTGGTTTTTGCTTCTAATTCAACCTTCAGGGGTTTCTGTCCTTTCCTGAGTTGATATCCTTCATATCTCAGGTCCTCAACTTCCCTTTTTAATAAATCAATTTGTTCCCGAAGAAATTTAATAGTATCTTCACATGATTGAGAACATGAAACTTCACATGAATGAGAACATGACACTTCATTGATCGGAAGGTTTGCGAAACTCATTGTTTTTCGACAATTCAAAGCGTCAAGTTCTTCAATTAAATCATCCAGACTAAGACAATTGAGATCTTTTGTCTTCTTGATGTCAGCTGCATTCATGTCCCACGATTTCGGAAATGCATTCAACAACTTTTTGTTTATCTCAGATTTGGTCAAGAAGATCCCAACTATATTCATCTCAGTAGTGAGTGTGGTAAATCACTGCAACTGAGCTTCTAAGGTTTCTCCAGGGATATAATCGAACATGTTGAAATTTTGTCTTAACATATCCAGACGACTCTCTTTCATATCTTTAATTCCCTTTGTAGACTTCCAAAACTATTAAAAGCACAACTAGAACTTAAAAGTCAAACTTAAATTTAAAAATGCCCTTTGACTATAAACCTCAAAAGTCAACCTTAAAAGTCAAATTTAAAAAGTCAAACTCAAAAGTCAAACTGAAAAGCTAAATTTGAAAATTTAAAAGTCAAATGAGAAGGTCAAAGTTTAAAGTCAAAGGTCAAACTTTAAAGTCAAAGTCAAAATTTTAAGTAAAAAATCAAAAATAAAAACCAGTGTTTTAAAAAGCGGTTTGAACCGGACGGTCGAACCGGTTGGACCGGGAACCGGAGGAAGGAGCGGTTCAACTATCACCGGTTTTATATTAATTTTTGAACCGGCCGGTTTTTAGAAAAAACCGGTTGAACCGAATAAATACACATGAAAAAAACCATTACATACTAAACTTTGATGATTTTTTTTTTTCTAAATCTATTTAGTTTTCTCTAAATAAAAACATATGATAAATGTTATAAAGTTTTTTGATATGGTTGTATTAATCTAATATTATATTTGGTTTCGATATTATATTTTATTTCTTTTTGACGTATATGGATTGATGCAAAATATTAAAACTTATGGTTATGTGTTATTTTAATGTATTTGAATTCATTTACAACTTATTTTTATATGTATTTTTAATGTTTGAATTTGTAAACATCAAATTCATAAAATATATATGTATGTATGTGTAGGAAAATAGAAAAAACATGAAAAATATAGAAACCGGTTCACTCGGCGGTTGAACCGGTTACCGGGAACCGGTCACCATATCGGTTCAACTAAAAAATCGGTTTTTAAAACATTGATAAAAACTAAAATTTTTGGTTGAAAATGGAGCTTAAAAATAAAAGAAATTGATTTTTTGGCAAAAAGTGTAAAATTTGCGAAACTTGGAAGCAGCAGGGAGTGTTTAAGTTGAAAATTTCGAATGTAAATCACAAGTTCTTGGCTAGTAGAGATGGTAAGGCGCTTGGTTGAATACTTTGAGGTCCCAGGTTCGATCCCTAGCAACCTCAATTCGCGTTTCTATTTTTTTAAATGCGAAGCTGCTGCGAAGCTGAATTCCTGTGCGAGGATGAAGCGAGGTCGAGGATCCGAGGCGCGAGTCGATGTGAGATGCTAGTCCGAAGTCCGAAGGCGAGGACCTGGTGCGAGGATGCTGCTGACCTAGAAGGCGTCCGAACTGGAAACTGCTGCCGACCGAGCCGAGGCCGCAAACTCCGGCGATCGTGAACACGTTTCCGACTGTAAACTCGTTTTTGGCCGTAAACTCCGGACCGTAAACCCTTCAAAGACCCTAAACTCTTCAGGAAACATTGTTCTTGACGAAAAACATCGTTTTTTCACTCTTTTTGCTCCAAAACTCGATCAAAAACTCGTTTTTAGGAAAATCGTGAATAACAAACCCCCCTTATTTTTGCGAGATCTATCCAAAAACGCAAAAATATCTTTAAAATACGATTAAATAAGCTCCAGATCTGAAAAAATTGATTGATACAACCAAGCTCTAATACCAATTGTAAGTCCCTAATCTACCTGTGTCTCAATCAGATCCGTTTGATGGTGCAGAATCCCAATCAAACGGATGATGTCAGATCACAATAAGAAGAGAAGGAGAAGAAGATGATGATGAATCTTGTATGTATTGATATGAATGAAGATCCGGATACAAGATTCACACACACACTAACACACACTCTCTTTTCTCTCTCTAGAACACCTTCAAATGCACACACTTAAGCTCCTTTTGTGTTCATCATCCTTTTCCCCACACCCCTCACCCCTATATATACATGAGAATATGGGCCGTAAGCAGGGTTTACGGCCGTAAACGGGTTTACGGCCGTAAACTCACTCACCGACCATAAACAGCTAAACAATACATAAAAATACAATTTCTCAGAAAAGCAAAGTATAAACCATATTTTTGACCTAACAGGGTCTAAGGCACCAAGGCCGACCCTATATGGATTGTATTCGGATTATCACATGTTATGCATACTGATTATATCCTGGTAGTTAGGATGGTAATATGCTATGCTTTAGTGACCCGGTTGGGTCGGTATCCTGGTTATAGGATGATGCTATGTTAGTGACCGTTTAGGTCTGTATCCCGGTTATTGGGATGTTGCTATGATTGGTGATCTGTTAGATCGGTTTGACTGTTATATATATACATGCTAGTGTTATATGATGTCTATGTGCACATGATTGTCCTGGTTATAGGATGATGCTATATTAGTGATCGCTTAGGTCTGTATCCCGGTTATTGGGATGTTGCTATGATTGGTGATCTGTTAGATCGGTTTCATTGTTATATATATACACACTAGTGTTATATGATGTCTATGTGCACATGATTGACCTGGTTATAGGATGATGCTATGTTAGTGACCGCTTAGGTCTGTATGCCGGTTATTGGGATGTTCCTATTATTGGTGATCTGTTAGATCGGTTTGACTGTTACATGAAAGGAGTAAGCGTATGATATTTATGTGCACATGTTTGTTTGATTGGGGGTTGGTGCTTTGTGTTGTAGGCCAACATACCCAGCAAGCGGTCCGGATAGGCTGTAGGCCCCGCGTGGCGATCCAGACGTGCTGAAGGCTCGAAGAGCAGTCTAGATAGACTGAAGGCCTGTAAGGCGGTCCAGTCAGGCTGATGACTCATTATGCATGTTGTTCTATATTGGTTATATGATATGGTTATGATTGTATGGCGTTGGTATTTTGGGGAAACTCACTAAGCTTCGGGCTTACAGTTGTTGATTTTGTTTCAGGCACTTCTGATGATTGCGGGAAGGCGAAGGTGTGATTGTGCACCTCCTCATGTTTTCATGATTGATTCTGGGAATACTCTGATGTCTAAACTATTTTGAAAACAACCTGTAATAACTTAATGGTTTTAAAATGTGTTAAAAAGTTTAAATTTGGCTTGAATTTTATGGGTGTTACATATATGCTGGCATGATATGTTATATGTGATAGTAGTAGAGTTCGGTTGTTAGAACCGAAGGGTAGGTCAAACACCCCAGATATATCTGACAATATGTGATGATATGTTTATATGCTGGCATGATATGTTATATATGATAGTGGTAGTAGGAGGGGAATAGTCCCCAAGTTCGGTTTTTAGGACCCAAGGGTAGTTCGGACACCCCAGATATGTCTGATAGTATGTTTATGTTATGATATATGTGATAGTAGCAATAGGGGGTGGAATAGTCCCTGAGGGTCGGTGGTTAGGATTGACGGGTAGGTTAGCACCCCAAAATGGATTGACACGGGTAGGACGGCACCCCAGAATGACCGCATGGGTAGGTCGGCACCCCATAATGGTCGTACGGGTAGGTCGGCACCCCATAATGGCCGTATCAGGTAGGTCGGGCACCCCATAATTGCCTGGCAGTATGTATGCTATGTGATTGTATGGTATGTGGTACGATGGGGGGACTCACTAAGCTTCGTGCTTACAATTTACAGTTTTGGTTTCAGGTACCTCTTCAGCGAAGGGGAAGGAGCTGGTGCGGTTGCGGCACATCATACACACCTCTTTGTTTTCTGCACTATGGATATTCTAGGATTGTACTCGGACATGTTACTAATTTTATGACTTGGGTTTTCAGACATGATACATTGTTTTATGGGATGATGTTATTTCACAATATTTTCTTATGAATGTTTTTATGAGTCAGTTAATAAAAATGAAATTTTTGGACTTGAAAATTGGGTCGTTACAAAGTGTCTGTCTTTAGTGCATAAAAATGAACTTTCTCTAACATAAGAGATCTAGACAATCTTGTAATCATCACTGACTGGGTCAAAACCAAACCCAAGCCCAAGCCCAAACCATTCTGAAGGGCTCCACAGACAATTAGACAGGCTTTGTCGGCGCCTTATTGAAGGGTTCCATAGACTAATTCCCTTCTGACTCTCAATCAAAAAGAAAATTCCATCATACGAACCAATAATTTTGAAAAATCTGCTACAAGGAAACTGGACTGCTTTTATACCGTTGTATCCACCTGTGGGACACAAGGGCAACTGGTCTTCTGAATGTAATGTATAAAAGTCATCTGACATAAATGTTTGGAAGTATTCAAGGCCATATACTTCGTAATAAAATTGATGTTTGAAGAGGAGTTTTTGTGTGGATCGAGTAGTATGCATGCAGATGAAAGAGGGACTAGAAATACAAGAATACCATGACCCGGAGAGTGATCTAAACCGGAGGAAGGATTTACACTACTAGAAGGATCTAAACCTGAGGAAGGATCTAAACCGGAGGAAGGATTTACACTACAAGAATACCATGCAGACTGTATTTTTGAATTTGACACTATAGTTCGTGTAAGCCTTTTTATATATGTATGATATTTTATTTTGCTTTATTGGACATTAAATATGTAATTTAGTTTGATTTAAGATGTGGTAGAAATTTCGAATATATATATATATATATATATATATATATATATATATATATATATATATATATATATATATATATATATATATATATATATATATATATATATATGACCATGGCATAGAAAGCATGTCGTAAAAATATGTCAAAAATCATATTGTATGAAAGATATGTCGTAATTTGAATTTGTAAATGTCTGTCATAAATACAAAAATGTTACAGATTATGACAAACAAAGTCAGTTGTAAATGTATGTTGAAAACGCATGTCATGTATGTATGTCGTAATTGTTGGTCATAAAAGTATGTCGTAAATTTTATGACAAACCTAATGTTTGTTATTTTCCTTTATGACATGACTTTCAATGACATACATTTTTCTGTCATGTATAGGCATTTATGACACACATTGTCTGTCAAGGAAAACTTTTTTTTCTTGTAGTGCTAATATACGTATCAATAAGGAATTACGTATTACGATCGGTGTTTCCCCTTTTTAGCCTTTATTATTGTGTATTGACATTATGTCCCCTAGATATTTCGATATCACATCAATTGTCCCCACGAATTGCAACATAATTCCAATTGTAATCTTTATGTATTCTTTTGCATAAAATCAGTAATCATCACCGTAATCTGAATACAAATCCAAAATAAGATGATGACATATTTTATAACCTTTTTTTGTTAAATTTGCACAACTAGAAAACAGGAAATAGAGTACGAACTGTTTTAGGTTATAGAATAAGGAAGAATGGGTGTATTCTATTGGGGGTGTATTAGATTTGATCACATATATAATAGAGTACCATCAAAGAAGTGTAACAATCCAAAAATCATGATAAAACTTTTCATTTTAAAATCAATAGTTTCCAAACATTAAAATGTTCCAAAACATTCACCATATACAATATCAAAAACCACCAGAGTAATAAGATCCAAAAAGTGCAAAAAGCATGAGGGGATGATGTTGTGCCATCACGTCGGGCCCTTCCCTTTTGTACCGAAAATACCTGAAACCATAAACATAAACTGTAAGCGCAAGGCTTAGTGAGTTACCCCACAATATCACATCCCAAACATACAACTGGGCCGTGTCATGGGCTATATTTCAACCCAATAAACAAACATGGGCCCCGCCCTAGGGTATGTTTCAACCCAAACATGCCATAGTGGGCCTCCTGGGGTGTATTTCAACCCGATCATGTCATAGTGGGCCCCACCGTGGGGTGTATTCCAACTTGGCATACAAACACATATATCACATAACAACTTGTGTAACGACCTAAATATCCAAATAAAAAAATTTTCATTTTTAAATAAAGTTTACAACCATAAGTTTAATACTAAAAATCCATTACATAATAACCGTCATAGAAAATCATCAGAGTGTCCATATCAGTGAATGCAGAAAAATAGTGGAGAACACATGTTGTGCCATCAAGCCGAACCCTTCACTTTAGTACTAGAAGTACCTGAAAACACCAAAATAAACTATAATCAAGAGCTTAGTGAGTTCCCAAAACATCACATAACATACAACCACAGAGTACCATGCAACATACATAAAGCTGCCATGGGTTACCCATATGGTCTTTACCTGGAATGCCATGGGCTACCCCCATGGTCTGATATCCAAGTGCCATGGGCTACCCCCATGGTCAGATATCCAGGTGTCATGGGCTACCCCATGGTCTTCACAGAAGTTCCATGGGCTACCCCCGAAGTCTTTATACAGTTAATGCATAACAAATAACAATCCATATATCAGATAATGAGCCGACATTGGTGCCTTCTACCCATTGACATAGTGAGAAGACTCACCTTAGATTGCTGATAAAAATACTGGTCGGCTACTGGTCCGGTAATCTCACACTGAGAATACACAAGATATCCTAATTAGAATTAAAACACGAACCTGAGACCTAGGCCCAATTGATGCCCATTGTCGTCGCTAATACCTTTAGCACCGACATGTCGTCACTAAAGGATCGTCGCTATTACCTCGTAGCTTATACTCGTTTGTCATCGCAAATAGTGTCCTCTCTAATACTCATTGTCGCTAAATGGTCATTTTCGTCGTTATTAGCGTCATCTCTATTACCTTTCCGGCCACCGGTCGGAGTTTTTCCGGCTACTCTTCCTGGAATCAGTTGTAGTTGCAATTGGTCAATGTCATCCCTAAAGGTGTCGCTGCTAATGTTTTTTTTTTTTGAAAAAACAATTTATTTATGATATTAGTTTGTATATATTATATATGCAACTTTAATATATATACATACCACATTACATAAACTTCAAATATACCACATTACATAAACTATCTGATAAATCCCAAATAAACATCTAATATATCATCCATAAACTTTCTAATAAATCTAAAATAACATCATCCATAACATAAAACAAGAAATACTATGTGTGTGTGCGTCTTCCCCATCGCTGTTTTGCTCGTTGTTGACTTGGCTTTTAAACGAACGTATAATGTGTCCAATGGTCGTCACAAACGCCGGGTTTTGAAAAAAAGCATTCACATCAACATCCTACAATTAAGTCACATGCACATTAAGGGCGTGTTCGGCAAAAACTAGCTGGTAGCGGGTAGCTTGTAGCAGTTAGCAGGTAGCTTGTAGCATTTTGTTAAACGCTACATGAAGTAGCATTTGGATTTTGAGCGTTTTGATTAAACTAAACGCTAGAAGCTTGTAGTGCCAAACGAAGTTTTCTGTTTTAAATGGAGCGTTTTGTCAAATGCTAAAAGCTAGAAGCTCTCAAACGCTCCAAAAAGCTCTATGCCGAACACACCCTAAGTCATTAACAATTTAACAAACTATCAAACCATCAAACTACCAAATGAATTAAGTCGGTAACAATTTAAAAAACTATTAAACCACCAAATCAATTAAGTCTCTATCAATTTAACAAATTACCAAACTACCAAAAATTACTATAAATGCATCAAGTTCTTAACAGTATAGCAAAACTACCAAATTCTTAAAGAATTTTACAAGTACGTATGTTGGTTTCGGTGCTTATGACTGTGACTGCAATTAGGGTGGAGCACTTGTACCCCCTGCCGAAGAAGGTTTAGGCCCAATGCCTCTCACATGCCCCCCTTTGAGTACCCAATACCTTCTCAAATATTGCGATCTAATCAATGGTGTCTTGATCACCATTAGAGTCGGCTATGTGATGAGTCTGTAGAGCAACCTCAATAACCAAGGCATTATATATTTCAAAAAGATTGTCAATATACGTATTACTTAGAAAAAAACATGATTCATTTTTAAGTAATAATAACTTACATATTGGTCTTCAACCAAAGGATCAACAAATTCCCCTTTTTTATTCACATGCCCACGATGAAATGCTTCAAGTCTATTTAAATTCTGTTTAACATTACAAACTGCGTTATACTTGAATAAACATTAAAAAATATGTTATAATTGAATAATCATTATTGTAACTTACGATATTAAAACAAGTACTACCATAGCTACACGTCTCTCCACAATTCTTAACTACTTGCTTCTTCCGACATTCTTTGTTTCCAGCGGATCGTTTTTTATGCTTTTATGTTAAGTAGTGGTCAATAGCAGCATTCCAACGCTGCAAATCCATACCCACAGGGGCTTGAGGCCTTGTTGCCTCTACATCCCCTTCAAAACCAGTCAAACGAGTTTTTGCAACATTTTTGCTACCTCTATGCCACATACATATCCGATTGTTCAGTGACGCCCAATAAAGTGGAGCCATGAGATCATTTGTTTTTTTTAACCGAAAAATACAAATATTATAATCTACTCCTAAACTAAATATCTAATTCCACCTATGTCCACCACGGGACTTGAACCCTCGACCTCAAAGAAGGAGGACACCATCTGATACCACTGGGCTAGAAGCCCTTTTATGAGATCATTTGTAATCACTCCAAAATCAAATCATGTCTACAAAAAAAAATAGAGAAATTAAAAATAAATCAAAATTAAACATATTAAATATATAACTTTATAAATAATTTACCGAAAGATACTCGAACATGCCAACCCTTTCGGCTTCAGAAACGTCTGTCCATGTGTCCTTATCGAAACCGATGTCGCACCACATATAGCTCCGAACCTCCCGAATGAAACATCCGTATACTTCCCCAATCAGCATGTGCGTATTTATGTCAAATAATATCTTCAGAGGCCGTTGCCCGTTAGCTGAAAATAAATTGTACATTTTTTGTTTACTGCCATGCCTCTTCGTTTTGGAGGTACCATTGCATAAAAAAATATTAGTCAAAATAATTTTTTTATATACATACAATATGAAATATAATGAATTAGAATAAATCATAATTACCATCGATCTGGTGATCACCAAAACCTCCACCGAACGGATGTGGTGGCTCATCACCACCATCACCTCCATAACCCTTCACAACAGCCATGAGATGGAGCAATGCAATCTAAAAAAATGGCATCCTGAAAAATTATAACACAATATATATATATATATATATATATATGATTACAACAAATACAAACCTTGTTTTACTAGTCAAATGTAAAGATTTTTTAATCATTCTTGCCCTCAGACACTTCAGTGTCTGCCTACACATCACTATCATAATCAGAATCCTCCTCATCATAATCAGTCTCGCAATCAGACACATTATTGATGATACCCATTGGTGGACCAACTTCAATATTATCTTCAATCGATTGAGAATTTTGAAAGTACTGTCTAAATTCGATTGAAAGAGTGAAATTAGAAGAAGCATTACTAAGAAAGACATGGGATGAATCATTGCTGACATTTTCAATGGGATCATGGTTGACATTTTTCATCGATAGATCCCAAATTCTTCTATGATTAACATTTTCAACAACCCACCGTTGGTTTTCATTTTCGTCACTTCAAGAAGGTTCTTGGATGTAAAATGCTTGCTTGGCCTATGTAGCAAATATGAGGTGATTTTCGCTGCTCAATTCGCAATGTAGGTTGATATTGGTGAAATTATTATCAGATTTAACTCCTACAATATCGAACCACTTGCAATGAAAAAGTATAGTGAAATATTTATTAGGATAATGCAACTCGATCATCTTTTATAGCTGACCATAATATTTCTGCTTATTCTCTCCCTCAGTTAGAACCCCCGAGTTTTGTGTTGATTGTTAGGCGTCATGCATAAGTACCATAAAACTAACACCATTCACTATGCAAACAATATAAGTATAGGAATTCACATGCACACCAATTGAAAGAGCCGATAACTCCTTGTTAAACTTTGGATATTTTATTTTTGCATATCATAGACCTTGTGAAGGAACCATTTACGAGATTCATTTTTTCTTCACTGTCAGGATGTAATGATTTGAATTCACTACATTGATGAAAAAATATATAGATTTAGTAAAAGATGAGAAATTAAAAACAGACAATGAATTAAAAGATAAGAACACTTACGTAATATACTTTCTGACTTTGTCACAACTATCAAGAACAAACCATTGTAGACGTTTTCTTTCCTCTAGACCGAGATTTTTCATTTTCTTTACGCTGGCCGGTCGACACTTAGACTGAAACACCCCTAACTTTGTTTCTTCTATGACAACATCCTCATTTCTTTCGAGGCGATTGAATTGAGTCTCGACATCTTCAAGGTACATCGAACAAAATGATAATGCTTCTTCAGCAACACAACCCTTAGCTATAGAACCTTCCGGCCTCGCCTTGTTTTTGACATAGTTTTTTAGTTTTTTCATATACCTTTCGAAGGGATACATCCATCTCATACATACTGGGCCTCTACAAATTGTTTCATCAGGTAAATGCAAAACTAAATGAACCATAATGTCAAAAAACGCAGGAGGATAGATCACTTCTAATTTGGATAATAATTTAATAATGGTTGCTTTTGCTTCTTTCATATCATTCACTGATAGCGTTCTTGAGCAAAGTTGCTTAAAAAACGTACATAGCTCTACTATTGGGGTATATACACCTTTGCCCAAAATCCGTTTAACTCCAATGGGTATCAAACGTTGCATAAGAATGTGATAATCATGAGATTTCAGCCCAATAATGTTAGTATTGGTTTCATTCACTTTCTTACTGATGTTAAATCCAAACCCATCCGGTAGTTTCACATCTCTTATAAACTTACAAAAAAGAATGCGGCCAGGTTTCGTGAACGAGTAAGGTAGATGGGGTTTAAGGAACTTGTTTATACTCTTTTTCAACCATTGACTTTTCCGAATGTTCAGTTTTGTCAAGTCCCCCCGAGCATTTGATATGTCTTTAGATTTATCATTCATTAGAGAAGTAACCAAAAGACTATCACCCACATTTTTTCAATATGCATAAGATCAAAGTTTTGCTTCAGCTCCAGAGAAGACCAATACTCAAGTTCAAAGAATATGCTCTTTTTCAGACCAATTCAACTTGAAATCCGCACAATCTCTCTTAACACCAGCTCGTTGAGCAGCTACTTTACCCGGTGGACGAAACAATAGACGAGCATGTTGCGCTTGTATTTCTTTCTCACTAAACTGTATTGGAGGGCCTCTTATCTCGTGTTCGCCATTATAGTCCAAATTTTTCTCGGTGGATGGTCAACATATAAGAACCAACGATGACCAACATATACGACTTTATTTGATACTTGGTATGACATAGTGTCTTCGTTGTAAGTCGGACAAGCTTTGTACCCTTGTCCGCTCCAACCAGATAAACTACTATGAGTTGGAAAGTCGTTTATTGTCCATAAAAACACCACTTTCATATTGAAGAATGTATCTGTCGTTGCGTCTTTAGTACGTATGCCAAAACCGCATAACTGTTTCAACTCATCCACCAAAGGCCTAAGGAACACATCCAAGTCTTTCCCAAGGTGCTTTGGGGCCGGGAATTAACAAGGTAAACATAAAGGAGGACTCTTTCATGCCTAGCCATGGTGGAAGATTTTAAGTGGTGAGTATGATGGGCCACGTGCTATGAGGATTACACATGTTACAAAACGGATTAAAACCATCATCAGCAAGCCCTAAGCGTACGTTTTGAGGCTGATACTTCATATCGATTTTTTTGCATCAAGTGCCATCAATAGGATAGAGCATCATACCATCTTAGGATTGTCCGATACTGTGCCAAATCATATCTTTAGCTGTGTGTCTAGAACAGTACAAACGTTGTAGTCTGGAGGTCACGGGAAAGTATCATAACACCTTATGAGCCACCTTCTTACCCTTTGTATTTTCATCAACCCACCAAATCTCATTACAAATTGGAAACTTTTGCAACAACTTGTGTTCTTTCCAGAAAAGAAAGCAATCATTTTTACATACGTGTATCGACTCTAACCCAAGCCGATCTTTTTAAGTGTCTTTTTTGCTTCATAATGTGATAGGGAGACCCTGTTTCCTTCAGGAAATGCAATTTGCAACAACTCAAGAAGCTGATTGAATGAACTATCATTCCATTTGTCGATCACCTTGATATGCACCAACTTTGCTAAAAAGTCAATGGACGAAAACGAACATCCCGGATATAATTTTGATTGGACTTCCGCTAACAGCTTTTGAAATCCATCATCGACACTGCTACCCTCTATATCCGGGTTCCCTTCGTCGCGTTTGGTATCATTTTCAATCACACCCTCATAACATTAGCAATAACATCGACCATCTCGTTACTACGCGGTATGTCTTCGACAACCGGATGAACTCTATTTTCTCCATGATACTTCCGTATAATATAATGTGGACTAAAACCATGTTGAAGTATATGGAATTTCATTATGGCTAGTAGTATAAATTTATTTATTGACATTACATTTGTTACACGGGCATCTGGTTTGACCTTTGTTATCGACGTGTGGTTTTGACCTCTCGAGAAAAGATTCGAGTCCTTAGTGGAACAAGGTAGAGTTACGATTTTCAATAGTAGTCCAGGTTTTATCAATAGACATGTTGCAACTGAAACATAAGTTAGGTTTTAGTGTTTAATCTATAAGAACTAAAATTAGGATTGAATATTTATAAGGATAGAGTAACCGCTCAATCGGTAGAGTATTCACAAGGTTAGGCTTCTAAACCCACTTTTTGAATACATTACCTCATATGTGAATGTGTATTACCTGATTGACCGTTTAAGAGAAATTCGGCAATATTTTCCCTTAGCTCCTAAGTATATATAGAAATATACACTCGAGGAGCAAAGAGAAAATAACAACCAAATCTTTCTTAAACAATCAATCATGTAATACACGTTCACATCCTAAATGAAATAAAGTATTCAAAAATCAGTCCCAAAATGGGGACAACCCGAAATTAATTTCTAAATCAATTTCAGACAGGTATTTCTAGGCTCTTGATGATTTAAAAGGAAAATAAAGGAAGATACTTAAACTAAAAAACCAACATTTTATTATTATAGCATTGTACTTTAAATAATTAAGTTATTAGATTACAGCTTAGTAGATTTACCGTCTTATGCTTTTCGTTTTTGTTTTGTATTATAACATTTTACTTTAAACAATTGTAATGTGTGTGTATATATATATATATATATATATATATATATATATATATATATATATATATATATATATATATATATATATATCATATTTTCTTTCTGTTCCAAATCAACATTCAAAACAACAAAAAAGTGACAACAAACGGATTAGGGTTAGTATAACTCACTTACTAGGAGGTTTGGATAGGAACCAGACTCTATGGGGCCAGAACTTCCAAGCCGAAGCTCTTCTTCTTGGAGCCTTTTAGCGCTCCGGGACTCGCCTCTAGCACTCGGGAAGTGTTAGGGAATGGGAGGGGCTAAGAGGGGTGTTTGAGAGAGAAAGAATGGGAAAGGTATGAGTTTTTGGAGTGATTTGCGCCTCTATTTATAGGCTAAGTCCGGTTCGAATGCGGGATGTTCCCTTGCTGAACACTAGACGTTTGTGGCCAGGTGTCATCATCTGGTGCCAAGCCGTGGTGAGGAAGTAGTGGCTCAGATCGTGCCACGTGTCTCTCGCTGGTTACTCCAAAAACTAATTATCTTCTAAAATCCGTAACTTTTGCATACGAGCTCCGTTTTAGCGTTCTTTTTATTCACATGTAGGTATTGATAGATCTACAACTTTCCTTTGGACCCTATTGGCTCATTCTCGGCCAATTTTAAATTTAACAGTCTAAGAAGATTACACTGTTAACGACCGTGTAAAATTCATAACTTTTACATACGAACTTCGTTTTCGACTGTTTTTTATCGTTGAACTCCTATTAATGAGGTCTTCAATTCTTATTTAGGTTGTGTCGGCTAAAAATCGATCGATCTAAAACTCGTTTTTCAGGTTGTGCATTGCTATGCTAAATCTTAGAAAAAATCATAACTTCCTCATACGAAGTTAGATTTGGACGTTCTTTTTATTTACGTTCTCGG